GGTGATGGTGGTGGTGTTGGTGTTGGTGTTGGTGTTGGTGGTGGTGCTGGTGGTGGTGCTGGTGGTGGTGCTGGTGCTGGTGCTGGTGCTGGTGCTGGCGCTGGCGCTGGCGCTGGCGCTGGCGCAGGTGCAGGTGCAGGTGCATGCTGCTGGAGCAGGTGCTGGTGGTGGTGGTAATGGTGGTGGAGGTGCTGGTGGTGCTGGCGGCGGTGGTGGTGGTGGTGGTGGTGCTGCTGCTACTGCCGCTGCTGCTGGTGCTGGTGCTGGCGGCGGTGGTGGTGGTGGTGGCAGCTGCGGCGGTGATGGTGCTGGTGCTGGTGCTGGTGCTGGTGGTAACAACAGCAGCACAGCATGAGGAGGAGGAGGAGAATGAGAAGGAGGAGGAGGTCGTCGTAGTGCCTACTTCTTACGTGTATTGCACTCACATAAGTTTGTGATTGCATGAAAGGTGCAGGTCGTATTGTGCATATAGCAAGCAGTGCGACGACGTAGTTGCGCAGTGCCAAGAATGTGGAGAACATAGGGGGACACGTGAACGCTTTCAGGCATAGCTAATAAGTCAATTATTTAATCACTTAGTCAAATTATTCATGAACTCATCAATTAAATCATTGAATGAATTCATCAATTAAGCAATTAACTAGTTAGTTAGTTGTCAGTTAACCAATGAGTTTGTTAATTACTGCGTCCATGAACTAATGAATAGTTTGGGTGGACATGCTAGGTTAATTGCTGATAGGTTGAGATATGTGGGGCAGCTCGTGTCCTTGCTGATGCTGGTATCCTTCACCTTCCTCTTCTCGCGGTACTACTGCCTCAGCTGCTATGAGAAGTACGAGACGATAACACTCCTGAAAATGGCTCCCTGGCATTCAAGTTGAGGGATTGGATCCTGATAGTACTTATGCGTCCATTATCGGCTCCCAGCCCCTACAAACTCTAAACCCAAATCCCCTAAGCTCTAAGCCCCAAAACGCTGTAAACCTCGAACCCGACCCGACCAGGCAGATGCTGAGTTTCCAGTCAAGCCGGCCATCGCCAGGGAATTCAAGCTGCCAAGCTTTTAAGGAAAGTTTTAGGCTTGTGTGTGCGTGTATATATGCATATGTATATATATACATATATATATATATATATAGACACATGTACATTCAGCTTTGTACATATACATGCACACCCACTTACCTAGCTAATACCTTTCCCGTTATTCAGTCGCGTCCCCTCCCCCCTGTAATATCGCAAAAACCGACGGCCGAAATGACTATCTGATATTAGGGGGCATTCTTCTCATGAAAGCTATGCGCAGGGAATAGTGGAAAATCAATTAGAAACTAATGAGAAATTCAAGGGCAGCAAGGAAATAGTTGCTCCTAATTACTTGTTCCTGACATTTCAATACACACTCAAATTCAAAAGCAATTCAAAAGTAACTAGAAAGTTTAGCAAAGCAAGGAAAGAACTACTCGGAAGTACTTGTCCCTCACATTTTAATACAAATCATATCTGAAAGCGTTTCAAAAAGTAATTAGACATGTAATTAGAAATTTATGCAATGAAGGGAAATAGCTACTCGAAACTACTTCCCCCTTCTATGTTCATACAAACTCTACTTAACACTCAGTTCAAAAGTAATTAGAAATTCAAGCAAGGCAAGGGAATAACTACCCAGAATTATTTTCTCTCTATATTCTAGTACAAATCCGAAATTCCAGCAAAGCAAGGAAATAACTACTAGAACTACTTTTCCGTATAGAGACTTTAACACTGACCCTAGATTTTCGAAGCATACACACATGTACGCACACACATGTTCAGGCTTACAGGCGCGACTTAGGACTTGCAACCATCAACACCCGCCGCTGATACCTATGTAAACGAAAATGTTGGGTGAGTTTCAGTTAGGGTGGTTTTTGGGTGCTTCAACGTGTATGATAACCTCAACACGATGGTCAACTTCCACAGTTTTACAGCGATCCCAATGTGGGTAAAGGGCACCCAAGCCCCTATGACTCTAAACCCTACGCCCTATACCCTGGTCCCTAAACCTTTAATATCTCGACAGCTGAGGTACCAATGTGGGCTTTCCATGAATCTCGTGCAGAGGATCGTGGATGAAGATGTGATGCACCTTCCTGTCATGGGCGAGCCCAAGGTTGACGCTCTGGAGGGATTAGGGTTTAGGGTTTAGGGATTAGGGTTTAGGGTTTAGGGATTAGGGTTTAGGGATTAGGGTTTAGGGTTTAGGGATCAGGGTTTAGGGCTTAGGGCTTATGGCCTAGGGATTACATTGTTTCTGCGTAGCTGGGTAGGTCAGTTGCAATTTGTTGGGGTACATATATATGGTAGTTTCCCAAAAGAGGGGGACCCTAATATAGCCCTATCCTTATCATGGGGACCCCCAAAAAGGTATTCCTAATTTTGGGAAACCCGCATATATATATATATATAATATCCCACTATGAAAAATGGGGTTTTCTGGGCTGAGGAACTCAGCAGCTGAGGCTTAATTTAGGGAGGGGTTTAGGGTTTTGGGTTTAGGGTTTAGGGGTTTAGTGGCTTTCGGAGCAGTCTTCTGTAATTGGTGTATGCTTTACTAAGAGTTACACATGAGATGTCCAAGGGTCGTTTTTTCAAAGCCTTTAGGTTTCCACATCAGATTGTTTTCAGGTAAATGGGGTTTAAGGTTGGGAGTTTGGGAGTTAGGTCTTCCCAGGTTTTGGGCTTCACCGTATTCCGGCATGTTGTAGAATGGAAGTTCCTTTCTTTTTTTTTTTTTGGGGGGGGGGAGCCTTTTTTCTGGCAGGGTCTGGGCAGCCTAGGATGCGAAGAAATGCGAGGTAACCTATGAAGAGGTCAAGGCCATTTGCAATGAGCTTCCTGTCGGAGCGCTGGAGCCAACAATACCGGTGGAGATCCCGGTCGCGGGGTGGAAGTTCGGATTACCATGTTTCCCTCCACTGTGCATCTTGGTTCATTCTTGCAAGCAATTCTTGATGCAGTCTTCACTTGAATGCATTTTGTAAGTCCCCGGTCTCAGAACCAGGCATCGCGCACCATCACCTGCACGACGCAGGAATGTACCACACCATTTTCGTGGTCGTGATGTGCACCATCATATTCAGTGTGTGGCTCGCCTTCACACTGTCCATAATGAAGTTAGAGCGCGATCTCATTTCTCAAAACAAGCGGGCACTCGCGCCAGCACCCGGAGAATAGTTGTCCAATTTGCTCTCAGTTCTGCGAGCGGCTTGTCGCGCCCCGCTAAGGGGGTTCTCTTTTTGGGAACCCTGTTGGGGTCCTTGCTGCCACAGGATACTCCTGACTAAAGAGGGACATATTTGGACTCATCCAAAGTCCTACAGTCTTTAAAACACTTCCATGCTCCGTAGTCCAATTTTTTCGCCAACATGATGCAAAGCATCATTCGCAAGGGCCCAGGCAAATGTCTTAAGCTCAATGCGGAACTTCATGTGGGGCGAAACTGCATGGCTCCTTAAATGATCCCCTTGCGAGACTCTAGTAACCATCAGCAGGAAAATAGTTGTCGAATTTGCTGTCAGTTCTGTGAGCGGCTTGTCGCGCCCCGCTGAGGGGGTTCTCTTTTTCGGAACCCTCTTGGCAACTTGGGGTCCTTGCTGCCACAGGACACTGCTGACTAAAGAGGGACATATTTGGAGTCATTTAGAGTCTTGAACACTGAGCAAGTTCAAGTTCATCGCGAGCGTGATGCAAAGCATCATTCGCAAGGGTCCACAAGTTTTTCGAGAAAAATTGGATCTCTGCTTGCCCCGAATTCTACATTCGACGCCTCAAGCAAAGGCCTCGAATGACAAGCCGACCCCTGAACCCCCCGACGGAACCGCCCAAGCTCCGGAAACGAAGGCAGCCTCGCGCATGCAGCTGACATGGGTTTTGTGGCTTTGGCCTCACGGAGCTGGGGCAGGACACTGGGGTTGGCCGGCTACGCTAGCAACAAGTGTTTGATACTGAGTAGATGCGTGCGCCATGCGCTTTTTCTGTCCACTGGGGCATATTCACTGGTCACATGACACACCCCCCCATGCCCATCCGTGGCTTTCCATATCTGCAAGTATTTGTCTTTACATGTGGGGGTTTCCAAAAATTAGGGGTACCTTATTTTGGGGTCCTTATAATAGGGGTCCTACTATTTAGGGTACTATAGTAGGGTCCCCTATTTTCGGAAACTCCCATGTGTCTGTTGCTATCATCTTCGCTTTTGAGTTCAGGAGACCAAGGCTTCGCGCCTTGCTGGAGTCGGGGCGGCGGCTTCAGCTTCCAGGAAACTAGTGGTCTCGCGTGTACGTGCAACGTTGTGCATCAAAATCTCATGTTCAGCTGTGAGTTGTTTGAAATTGCTGTGGTTCAAGATGTCTGCAGCTTTCAATCTCTTCGGCACAAGTTTGCAGACTGCAAACCTGGTGCATGAGCACGGCGCAAGCTGCAATCATGCGAGTCGGCATGCGAGCAAGATTTCCAGAAGTATTTGCATCTGGCAGGAGTGTTGTGGCAGTGCGGAGCAGCCGCCGAATCCAAGCTGCTTCGACCCCGTATACACAGAGGAGTACTGGTTGCTGTCAGCCTCGTCTCCGACGCTGCAGGGCACAGCAATGCACCCTGCAAGGAGCTTTGCTGCATGGAGGCGGACTGGGACATTGAGGCGTGTGCTGAGTGCGAGTCTCATCAAGCTTGTCATAGCTGATAGCTTATGTCAACAATTAAGCCGATGATCCATGCTCCGACAGAGGCTGCAAGGGTCTTTCGCAGATAAAGGCTGTCGTGTCGGCGGTTGCGAAATTTCGGTGGCAGGTGCATTGCAAGTCTGTACTGTCGTGCGTTGACGGAGCTAGGTGCCGTGCCTGATGTGCCCTGTGCAGTGCTGGCAGCATGCGCGAGTACATCTGTCAGAAGCACGAAGGATAGCCGATGGCCAGGCACTCTGGCAGCAGCATTATGCTTCTGGGTGCGCTGCTTGTGTTTTGTTACTTAACAACTAACGTCGTTGTGATGCTTGCCCTGACTGTTGGTGTTGCCTTTTCGCGCAGAACTCCTTTCTATGTGGTTGTCGTTGTGGTGGTGTTCGGGTCGGTTGTGTTGGTCATGTCAAGATTGAGTAGCTTCATTGCTATTTGTACCCTTTCGATAGGGGGGTCATTGTTCTTCGCACCCCCCCGTCATTGTTGTTGTTTGCCCCCCAGCGTCTGTGTTGAATCGTCCTAGCAGTAAGTACTAGTCGTCGTCGTAGTCGTAGTCATAGCAATAGTAGTGGTAGTAATCAAAGTAGTAGTCTTCGGCACAGTAGTAGTAGTAGTAGTAGTAGTAGTAGTAGTAGCAGTAGTAGCAGTAGTAGTAGTAGCAGCAGCAGCAGCAGTAGTAGTCGTAGTCGTCGTAGCCGTAGCCGTAGC